AAAACACAATTTTGAATAATGTAAATGTTTTTAAGAACATCCAACATGCAAGTTATTATGCATCGATGTTCAGATTAATCTCAAAAGTACATATATTTCGCAGCAACTGTTTGACTCGCAAAAAGTTCGCGAAGACATATATCACGTATGTAACTAAAGTCAGCCATGAAACATCGTAATTTGTGCATTTTATCGTTCTATGCACATAATGTGAATTAAAGACAAATTATACTATGGTGTTATACTCATTCACGTTTATTGTATTTTGCTTCAGAAATTACCAAGCACGACAATATGCTGCTATTTGTTACTTTTCTCGCCTTTGCCGGCGCCACATATGCTCAACATCCCTCCGGAAATCCCAAAGGTGAGAAATCCTATATATTTCCTAATTATTTCTACGTTTAATTGTTTTCTTGTGTGTTTTCAGTTATATACACTCATCATTTATTATTTAAATCACTCTAATTATTGCATTGAAATTATTAGATATGAGAAACTCAACGAACTTTATTGAATTATTATAATAAAATGGTAATTTCGTCCGTGAACCTCTTACTAATCATTCTTTTTATTTCTACAGTATTTGACTATACAAGTTGTTACTGTTGGAGATATGAGGTATTCTGCAAAACTGAGGATTCAGACTGGCAATGGGCTAAGGATGAGTGTGAAAGCATGGGCGGTTGGTTAGCAACTATCGACAAGAAGACGACTCACCAAGAAATACGAAAACTGATCCGTGCACAAGCCGACAGTAGGGTTTGCAATAACTACGGATTTTGGATTGGTCTACATGATGCTAGTGATCCAAAAACATCAAGACATCAAGGCCAACCTGAGAAGTTTTCGTGGGTGCACGAACAGTGCCACGATTTTCAGGTCTGGGAAAGTAATCAACCCAATGATAACAATAAAAAAGACAGTAATGGACAGAATTGCGTTCAGTTGTGGTAAGTACAGCCGTACATTGAAGTATAGGTAGTCAATAGATAATACACACTTTTGTGGTAACATATTTACATTTGTGTTTCGTTCTAGTCACATTCTGGATATATCCGCCACATTATTCGTTATGAATCATGGTAACAACAGATTTTGCTGGTAAATAGTCGTATTCAGTAATGCGAACTAAACCGTCTGTTGGCATAACTTTTGTTAGGAAGGTAATCATAATCAAACCAGCGGTTTCCTGTCCGGTACCCACGGAGCTCCGGGGTGCTCCGCGTAGCTCCAAGGAACTCCGATTATTTCATTAATTACCTTTTAATTAGATAATCCGGAAATGTTTTTTCTGTTCCATTACGAGCAGGTTCAACTAGAAAATGTAAAATGAAAACTAATAAAAATTGATTCAGAGTTCAGGGAGCCAAAATTCCTGTTCTGTTAGAGAATGCCAATTTGGTTTTAGAGCCTTATTTAATTAGTCTTAATTATTATGTGAATATTTGCAGAATGCTGGCGTAATGGTATATTTTATAATTTGGAAACTATGTACCGCTGATCCAGCGTTTTATCAATCTTCCAAAGTTGCGCAGTTACGATTTTCTGAATTACGGCGTTATATAATCATATTGTTACTATAATTATAGCTGTGAATATATGGAAACTGTGTACCGCCGATTCAGCGTTTTATCAAAGTTGCGTAGTTACGATGTTATGAATAATAAAGACCCTTAATCTACATTTTATTATTTCGGTTAATGTTTGTAAGTCTGCTGAAGTGTGTATATAAAAAATTAGTTTAATATGAACGAAATCTCAGTAAATATTGAGAAATATTGGACTTGCTATTAGTGAAAAATTACTGATATCACAGCCCCTCCATCCCCGGTAGAAAAAAAAAACGGTTATTGTCAAAAGTGTGAAAAAACACACATATATTTTGATATTTTATATAAATTTAGAAGCTCAACACAATTCTTCAGACGGCAAGTCTTTCTATAGTAGCATATTGACATTATTATTCATGAATATCGCACCTACATTTGGGATAATTTTTTTCATTTATTTGAAATCGTAAACCTAGTTGTAGTTGATGGATCGGTTCTTTGTGCCTGTTTTATTATATTTTATACAGTTTACGGATCATATTTAGGCATTCACTATATCCGTTCAAAATAAAAAAGGCTCTCGCCGATTCATTTCCATTCGATTTTTCATGCCATTATTTTTGTTTTCAAGCATATAATTGGAATGTAGTTTTTACAAGGCTGATCTCTAAGAATAAAATCCTGCAGTATCAATTCTTTAGCACTGTCAGGAACTGAGTAGGCAGATTTTTTATTGTTCCGATGAAAATTTATTTACGGGCGCCATTTTGTTTTCGGTTGCTGAACTTACTCGACACGTTGTCTACGGGTTGGCCCCTTTTATAGGAAGAAAACAGCATTCAACCATAATATTTGTTATTCATGTGAATAGATAAGTGCATTTAGTTTTTGGTGATGGGATTGGTATTTTCTCTCGAATGTTCGGATTTTGATAAATCGCGGTATTATGTCCTGTCATGTAAAACTAACTTGTACATCCGGTAATGTTTTGAAATCGACAAATGTGGTCATTATTACGTCACTTGGAGACAGGTATTGTTGACAGGTATTTAAAGTTCTGTACTATATTTAGTAGGAACGCATAGTTCCGTTTTGTCGTTTTTTATTTCAGTGCGATCCACTAAAGTTCGTTTTAATGTGAAAATATTCATTTTATTCAAATCAGAGCAAGATATTATAATAAAAGTCTCGATGTTTTACGTGACATAGCAAATATTTACGGCGCGTGTTTTTGTGAAATCTACGCAAATGCGTTTATGGCGACAGTATTATTACTTGAATTTAACAGGAAATCGCTGACATGTATTGTGACTCATGATCCCGATTTTCAATGAACGCGTAGTTCCGTTTTGTCGGCGAAACATGCGTTTTTATTTCAGTGTGATCCACTATAATCCTTTTTATTATTGGGAAATATTTGTTTACATTAAAAACAGTGCTAGGTATAACGCAAGTCGTCCGGTGGGTTAGCGGTAAAGCAACGTGACACAGCAAATATTTACTGCCAGCAATTTTGTGAAATCGACGCTTCGATAAATAAGCAAACACACTATTTACACGACGCTAAGAAATAGGTCAGCAGAAACCTTTATACTACCTTTACACTTAGCGTTCATGATTTTTTTAAATTATTTTTCCTGTTTTTTATACAGCAATTAATGTTGTTTTGGATTTAAACAATAGTCCGCTCGCGGAGAGTAGGCGTCGCACCTCCCTTATACATGACTCTGTGTGAAGAAAAAATCAACGTCTATTTTCTAAACAACAAATGTTTACAAGTATTAATAAATAGCGTGTTTATTAATATGTATATATCTGCGCACTGATGGAAATCATTACGTTTCAATGTGCTTCGTCAGAAAGATCAACATTAAAGAAATTGTACTCAAACTCCTCAATTATTTCCTTCACTATTGTCTTTTCACGGCAACAACAGCGTATCGTTTAATAAAACATCAAACTGTTTCTATCTTAGAGATCGGTCTTATTACTCTAGCTATTTTTTAATGTACATTATTTCGTATTTTAGGCACAGACCAGGTAAAAAAGGTAACTATGACGATGAGTATTGTGGTAAAACTAAGGGATACATCTGTCAGTTTGAAGAAGGTAAGACAAATAATGTCACACATGGCCTAAGAAGTCAAACGCATTAAAACATAACAACACTTTGTCATTAGATACAATTTTTCCATTACATCCGATGAACCTTGTTCTCCATAAATGCATTATTCGACAGATATCACATTAACTATTTGTTATACTAGATATAGTGGTGTTAGTAAATCAACTGAAAGTCGGACAGTTTGCTTTAATAATAACATTAAACACAGACGATGGTAGGAGCCGTCTGAATATTTAATCACTGTGGTTTTTTTGTATTGCAGAATGCCCATGTATCAATCAAGCCGTGGAGTAAGGCGTGCGACAGAAGTAGATCTTGCGATGAACAACCCAAACCCATTCGATGTTTCCCCATGCCAATAGGGCGAAAGAAGTATCACAGCGTTCATCTAATATATAATGCATGATTTAGGGATATATTTTCGTAAAGGGAAACTTGATTCTGGGACAATTATACTATTGACTAATATATTATAATACTATCGATATATAAAACTATTGCACATGTTTTTAGGTTGGTTGGAATAGTAATAAAAAAATATACTGTGAATATTTATGTCTCAGATGTATATATATATATATATATCAACTGGAAAACTGACAGAGATATGACGTATGAATGTGCTAATATCATATAGATCAGATAATATAACAAGAACTGTATACATTTCTGACAACGCTAACTGAACTGAAGTTCATATATTGATTTACACTTGTGGAAAAATTAAATGCAATGTGTTTATTTTTCAAAATTAGTTGTAGAAAATATGAGGACAAATATGTAAAAAATACTAAAATATTACAGAATTTCCATCATCGCAATATGATGCAGCCTGTTGAAAGTTATGCTACATTATTTTCAATGTTCCTTAGAAAATACAAGTTAGATGCATAGATGCAGGTGATGTTTTTTATACGTCACGATCGTCCATGTTTTTTATGTATATTGCATTCTGTTCTCGGCAATAACTTCGAGAGTGTAACATAGTTGAGGAGGCGAAAATCGTGTTTGACGCATTGCTACTAAAAAACAAACTACACTATCAAAAATCCCATACTCTCTTTTGTAGAATAACAACAAATAATATTATGCAGAAAACAATACATCCCTAGAATCTTTGAACTCTGCGGACTAAGTACAATACACTATTTGATGAGTATAATTTTCATAATCATTCATCGTGGGCTCATGTTATAACTGCACATAATTAAGTGTATATAACTCACACGTTAGAAAACTGATGAATGTTTTGCTTAGAGCTATTTATAACAAATTGAATAGAGATTCTAGAATCACCTACAAGAGCCACAGTATTTTTGTGCTTTTCGTGGTAATTGTAGCACTTTTTGATTATATTCCATTTGTGGTAGAGTTCCAAAAGTGTGATATTCTGAAGCCAATAATACATATAGTAAGTG